GCTCAAATTGTAAAACATAGTTATTATTTAAATATCATTTTTCTCCATTACATTGTGAGTTGTACAAGTGTAGACTGTCTCATTGACTTTTAAGTATCACAGAGCTTAGCACAGAACCTTGCACACATAAGAGTCAAATAAATACGAGAAAAGCAAATAAACATACCTTTCTGTGCTTTAATTAGTTGTTTTCCAATTTCTAGTGTCACAAAGGCTGTGCCATTTAGAACTATGTCAGTTATGGTTTTCCAAGCGTTAGGAGAAAGTCTTTCAGTAGGAGAAATAAAATTCCCTGCTGCATTGTTTATCACAATCTAATAAATGGACAAGGCAAGTTACAGAAACTTTAGATGAGGAAAAACATTTTCTCTGCAGGGTTTTTGTTTCTGAAATATATTAATAGAAATAATACAATAAAGTTGAAGTTCACAGTTACCTACGAAACAATACCATGAGATTTGGTAGTCGGAGTCTGTGAAAACCTCCTATGTTAGTTACCAAATTTCAGAATCCTAAGCCGTCTTTAAATTAGGGTAGATTCTGTTATTAAGAAAACTAAAAGGGTGCAGAGGCTCATGCCCGTAATCCCAGCACTTTGGGATGAGTTCATGACCACCCTGGGCAACAAAGCAAGACCTCATTTCTACAAAAATTTTCTTTTAAAAATTAGCTGAGTGTGGAGGCATGTGCCTGTATTCCCAGCTACTTGGGAGGCTGAGGTGGGAGTACTGCCTGAGCCCAGGAGGTCAAGGCTCTGCTGAGCCATGACTGTGCCACTTGCATACCAACCTGAGTGACAGAGCAAGACCCTGTCTCAAAATAAATGAATAAAATTTTAAAAGGTAAAAAGAAAAAGAAAATTAATACAGATAAACATATTTACCATGTGACTCTATTTTATTTCAAAGATCTCAAGAAATGCCTTTTTGTTTCTGGTGTTATTTTAGTTTAACTTAACCAAAGCAGCTTGTGGTTGAGGATCTATTTACCATCAATAAAGATTCTGGCTAGTTCTACAGGAGATTCAATGTTATTGGTTCTGAAAATATCTTTATCATAGAAAGTGCTACCTTTGAGACTACTGGAAGAAATGGCTTCTCTCCAGTAAATATACCAAGCAACAGCAAAATATTCATGCATATTTCAGGTATTAAAAGGAGAAATTTTGAATTTCTTACAGTTTTTCACGTTTATATTGTTCTCCACTGAGGAAGACAATCAAAAGTTATTAGCAGAAGCAAAAAGCATCAATCATTTAAACTCAATGCTGTGCTCTTGGATAACTGCTCTTGTTATTTCATAATCTTATTAAATAAAGTGAAATCAAGTTTGTTTTCCGATCAATCATAAATGGATTCTTTAAGTATTCCTGAAAGGAAGTCGTGTAGCGGTCTTTCTACTCTATTCTTTGCTTTAGCAGAACTGGCATTTTCCGAGGAACAGAAAATAGGTGCTTCTCAACACAGCACTTGCTCATATTGAGGTAGGAGGTGGGCCTAATTCTGGAGGCAGAGCTCCAACACAGGACCAGATTGAGGACTAGTTAAACCAAGTCCTAGATGAAAGCACCCCCTCTTTAGACATATCCACCAATGCACTATGTTTGTTTGCCATTGCCATGGCAATGCCAGCAAGTTACTGCCCTTTCCATGGCAACGAACTGATGACTCAGAAGTCACCAACCCTTTTCTAGAAATTTCTGCATAAACCTAGTTAATTTGCATGTAATTAAAAGTGGGTACAAATATGACTAAAAACTGCCTCTCAACTGCTATGCCCAGCACATTGACTATGGGGTTGCCCTGCTCTGAAGGAACAGTCACAAATCCATTCCACTGCTGCTGCTGCTTCAGAAAAGCTGCTCTCTTCTACCACCAGCTCATCCTTGAATTCTTTCCTGGGTAAAGCCAAGAACCTTCCCAGGCTAAGCCCCAGACTGGGACTTGCCTGTCCTACATCAATATCAACATTTTATTTCCTTTGTACAAGTTGTTAGGTGTTATCAACATCAAGTGTCAGGCAGTTCGGCTTCGTCATCACTACACTTACATTAGGATGTCCTGCAACTTTGATCAGTTCTGACACAGTGTTTTGAACCATATCAGGATCCCTCACATCACACTGAATTGCATGAACCTGCAAAATAACAAAAAGAAAATGACATTTTCCAGGTTTCTTAAACCAAACACATGAACAAATTATTTGAACATGTTATAATTCGTAAATCTAAATTAAATAACTGATTTTTATGTACCTTATTTCCAGTTTGAGAAGAAATTTGTTCTGCGGTAGCTTTCAAAACATCCATCTTCCTAGAAATAAACACGTTGTATGACTTCATATTATATTTTTCAATTTCATAAATTGAAGAATACAGAGAATCCATAGCTTAAAGAAAAGCATTTCTGAGAAAGTATAGATGTTATTTATATACAAAAATCAACGTGAATTTTTTCTAAAAGTCAAATTTAGATCATTTTTATATATTTGATACTAATTTATTGAATTAGTCACTTTTAAACCAGTTACTTTAACATTATCTACTCACAGATTTAAATTATTCCTTAATAAGCCAGCTTTACAAAGAAAATATATTCATGGTTTAATGTTTAATGAAAGCAGTAACCATAATCATTCCCACTGAAGACAAAGCAACCTCCATGTAGTGCTTAAAAAAAAAAAAAAAAAGAGATCCGGCCACTGCACTCCAGCCTGGGCGACAGAGCAAGACTCCGTTTCAAAAAAAAAAAAAAAGTTTCTTTTGAGACAAGGTCTCACTGTGTTGCCCAGCTGGTCTCAAATTCTGGGCCTCAAGCGATCTTCCTGCCTCAGCTTCCCAGTAGCTGGGATTACAGGCACACACCACCCCACCTGGCTGCATGTCAAGCTTTTTAACTTCATCTTCGTGTACAGAAAAAGAAATATTCTACCACTGAATTGGGGAAATTAAAATAATGAAAATTGTGGATGTTTACCCAAACATCAGTTCCACAGTTTTCATTGTTTCTTTCATCTCAAATAGTACCTGACTTTTTCAAAACGATTTATTTAAATAATCTAAAGAATATTTCTAGCATTTCATATAAGATTAAGATGCTAATCAAACAACTCGGGCGAACAGTGTTTTCAATACTATGGCACAGAATAGTTTCTTCAAAAGCATCACCAAGTGTAGCTTGAGGTGAGAGGGACTTACCGGCTGGCTATCACGCACTGAGTCACCTAGGCTGGACAGAAGAGCCGTCATCCTTTCCCAAGCCAGTACTCCCCCAGTAATGAATGCCACTTTTCCTTGAAAACTATCAGGTGGTGCATCGCTTTTTGAAGGGGTGGAAAGAATTTAGACTGCAAAGCTTCAGTGTTTGTTGAATAAATTTTTGTCCCATAACTGAAAAACTAAAAGGGGAAAAATGAATTGAAATTTGCATACACATATTCAAAAACAGATGAATTTTTTAAAACATGCTCTTGAATTTCATAGTCATCAAATTCTTGTATTAACACAAACTCTTTGCAAACATATTGTATTGTACTTAATTATTATTCTTTGCTTTCTGATTTAAAAAGAACAGGCTCTGGAGCTGGGGTTACATAGCACAGAAATTTCTCCAAGTTGTTTAACCTTCAGCAGGTTATTTGACCTCTCTGTGCCTCAGTTCCTTCATCTAAAAAATGAGGACAATAAAATAAATTTCTTCATATGGCATTGTGAGGATTATATGAGTATTATAGGTAAAGCACTAGAGCAGTGTGTAGCATATAGTAAACACTACAAAGCTTACATTATTATCTGCAGGGTGTTTTACTTTAATTTAATTTTGTTGTGTTTTGTGGTTTGGTTTTTTTTTTTTTTTTTTTTTAGAGAAGTCTCCGCTCTGTCACCAGGCTTGGAGTGGCAGTGGCATGATCTTGGCTCACTGCAACCTCTGCCTCCCGGGTTCAAGCGATTCTCCTGCCTCAGAGTAACTGGGATTACAGGCACGCGCCACCATGCCCAGTTAAATTTTTGTATTTTTAGTAGAGACGGGGTTTCACCATGTTGGCCAGTATGGTCTCGGTCTCCTGACCTCATGATCCGCCCGCCTCGGCCTCCCAAAGTGCTGGGATTACAGGCATGAGCCACTGCACCCGACCAAATTTAATTTTTTAAAAACTAACATAAAGCATTTTTGTCTTTCAACGAAAATAATCTGGATAAAAATCACTTTCCACCTGTGAATCACTGAAGAAAATTGTTAAAAATTCTCTGTAAGGTTTATTAAATCAAATGCCTCTTCGCATGCTAGCTTCTGGCCACAAAACATGAAACAGAATATTTCTGCTATTTATTTTAAATGGAGGGAAAAATCAATACATTTCAGAGTAAAAAATATTTGTATTGCCCTATTTTATATGTAACAGCTGGTACTTACATTACATGCAAACATCACTGCCATTCTCTCACATTTAATCATAAAACAAACTTTAGGTATTTAATATAATGAACAATAGGAGCTAACATTCATTAAGTGGTTACCACCTGCCAGGATTACATATCAAACTATTTAATCTTCCCAACAACCACAGGAAATAGGTATTAGTTTTATCCTGTTGTACAGAAAGGGCTCAGAGTGATAAAAAATATATATATTGCCAAAGTTGCAGAACCACGGTTCAAACACAGACTGACAGGCTCCAGAGCCTTCTCTGATAACCAGCTTACATATTCCTCTGTCTATTCTCTGAGATCCTGCTAAGCTTAATGATCACACCAGGGAGGTTATGTGATATTCCATTAGGTTACGGTGGCAAGATTAAAACTCCAGTTAAAACTCCAGAAGCTGCCATTTCCTTCCAGAGTATTCCTGTAAGCTAAATAGACTGTCATCAGTTGATTCAGGATATCTTGAAATTTATCCTAAGGAAAGAATAAGAAAATGTGGTCAATGATTTAGAACGAGGCTGTTCATCAACTGGAAACTGCACAAGAAAATGTTTATAATGTGATGTTAAATGAAAAAAAAAAGAAACAAATATACAGTATTTTTTAACTACAAATAAAAATATATGCTTAGAAAAAAAGACTAGAAGGAAATAACAACAGTAAGTAGTAGATTCAATATTTACCATACAGTCCTCAAAACAGCTCTATAAGGTAAATTCTATTGTTACTCCTATTTTATAGATGAAAAAAATTGAAGCACAGAAAGGTAAAGTAGCTAACTTTTAAAAATAAATAATAATAGGGAATAAAGACTTAAATCCAGTATCTGACTTCAGAGTCCACCCATTAGTTTACAGTTATGGCTAAGTGATGAGATTATAGATAATTATTTGCTTTGTTTGTTTGTTTGATTGGCTTTTAGTACTTTCCAAATCTATCCAATGATTAGATCTTTATAAGCAGAAAAAAAGTTACTGAAAGACAAAATTTGAGATCATGTATAAAATAATTGAAGATACATTTGTAAATCTTGTTATGCTCCATAGTCATCATATTTATTTTAGCTTCATATTGACAAAGCATTTTCTTTTCATATCCTTTTGCCAAAGCACAGTAATCCAAGCAACTCCACAATCATCTTTTTCTACATAAGTGGCAGTTTTCCTTAAGGCTGCCACCTGCCTTCAGAACTATTACATTAAGATGATGAATCAACAAGTTTACTCAAATAGAATGGTAGATTTGTCGTTAATAATAATGAAAAAAGTATTCTAATTTTCTGAAGGCTTTACCATAATTTTTAACTTTTTAATGTTAATGTGTATAGGAGATTTGATGTGGGACTTCATGAAAATAATTAAACAAGATATTTGCATACAAACTTTATTTTTAAATTTATTTTAAAACATTTCCTCAACCTCCTCACCGGTAGAGAAAAGGATATAAAGGTAAAAATGTCACATGTGATAAAAATAATTCCTAGTGTCTACAATGTAACAGGTTATTACGTAGCACTTTTTTATCTTATATGATCTGATCAATACTAACCTTATGATTCCACTTCCCCACCAAAATGAAGAAATTGATAAGCTATTTTAATTCTCATTACCCCCTAACAATACACAGCATATGTGTTAATATAAATTCAAGCCATCTTCTCTGCCTAAAAGGAAGATGTTCATTTCAACATTAAGACCCACTGAGATGATCAGATGTCACAGGGTCACATCATACTCAATCCCCTGTTTCTACAAAGAAGCATCCTTAATAACCTGAAACAGTATTTTGGTTGGGCTTTTTTGAATTATAAAAAGTGGATACCAAACAGGCTTTTAAAGATTTTCAAGTCCTGCTTTATGGTTTTTAGAGAAATAAGTTTTTTTCAAAAATGTAAATAACACCTTTCATATCAAGATTGATTTCTCTGGAGATCTTTAGTGATCTAAAATTCTTAAAACTTTCTAGAGTCTTCCAACTTTGGCAATACAGAATTATTTTTTAGTTACAAGCTCTAAATCTCTCCCACAAAAAATTAGCTATCACCCACCTTCCTCACCATACTCATCCCTCTCCCACATCATATAAACAATAGCTTCCTCCTTCATGTATTCCAAAATTACAGCATCTAAACTAATAAGACATGATCACACTTTTAATCTTCAAAATGGCAATTCCGAGAGTCTTGACACTGCACCTTCCCCTCAAGGATAAGGACTGTATATCCATGAGATATATACATAAATTACTTAGGTATAATTTGGCTAATCTAAAATGTCTAGGGTATCACAAACAGAAGTAGATTAGTGATTCTAGGCCAAATATGTTTTGTTATCCTGCCCAAATTTTTTAAAACTTGAGCCAACATTTAGATAATGGAAGAATTCACATAAAAGTCAGAAGCTCTACCAACACTTGGGCACACCTTCCCACATGATTAAGTACGACTATGAAAGCCCCGCTGAGACCAAGGCCTGAGCTCTGCCCAGCCCTGTACACACACGGAAAAGTGAGCCCTTTTCACTGGGTGGCTTTCATAAACAGGGCCTTCAAGGACTTCAGGCATCTGAGTAGTGACTCCTAGATGCCTAGTCTAAGTAACACACACAGAAACTAAAACAAAAAAAAAAAAAAAGAAAGAAGAGGCAAGGCTTTTTTTTTTTTTTTTTTTTTTGGCACCATAACTAAATTTCATGTAAAAGAAATTTCTTACAAAAATAACGTTTAATGTGTAGAATACATTATTAAGAAGATTCAGTTTCAAATATATAAAATTCATAAAATAACAGACTCTACTATGGGAGTTGTGAGGCTATGAATTATCTTTTTGAGCACTTAGTTTGGCTATTTATCATCGCATCATCATCGTCATCATCATTATGGAGTGGGTCCTCCCACATTAGAAATTCATTCCTCAACAACCATGGATGCCCTTTCCAGAAGTCAAAAAAGACAAAAATCAAGACTCTTGAGCATGGCATCAAGCCACTGGACAGATATGGTGCCAATGTATTATACGTTTCCTTGCCGCCCCCACCTGCGTGAGTGGCGCGCATGTTAGAAGTAAAACTCTAGCACTTACCACAGCCCTCAGCATTTCCAAAACTTGTCAACTACTTCTCCACCTTCGTCTCTTTGCTCGCTGCTTTCTCATACTTGAACCAAACCTGCTGTCTTTCTCAACCCGAGCAGAATTGCCTTCAAAACCAAGGACAACATGTCAATATCTCTGCCAACACTTTTTAAATGGCACCCTATTAAAAACAGGCAAATGGAAGGGCTTCCAAATTGGGCCTGCGTCAAGGTAGTGCCGCCAGATTCATATCAAGCTATCAGGATGCTCAGGAAGCCAGCGGGGACCTACCCTATATATTCATCGACTACAGTATCAGTTTCTGGGCACCAATTAGGCATTCCGGGTAATGCGTCGTTCAACTGAATGTAACATTTGGTTGGCCCCCTATCCCAAGAACAGAAAATCTAAATCATCCGCTGGCGC